GCGAGCCGCAAGCCGCTGCGAGGATGACCGGAGTTTGCATGATGATGGTTTATCATCCTTGATGAGATCAGCAAGGTATTGTGTTTCATTTGTGGTCAGCACTTTGTGTGTGTAATGAGTGCGACCTGCACTAACCCAGCGACCCAGATTGGAATCCTGCTCACGGCCACCAACACCAGTGACGAATTATCTGAACTAGTTTTGGGCCTCCCCTAGGTCGACTCGGCCTTAAATTAGTACCTCGTGCAGTGTTTAAACATTGCCACCAGGGAGACAAAGGCGGCAGGAAGCAGCGGTGATATTTCAAACAAACAAAACCCATGCTTGACCGAGCATGCATTAATACGGCAGTGTAGAAGCCCAAACATTTTTTTTTTACTTTTGTAAGCTTTGGGCTACGCTTTTTTTTTCAAAGAAAGAAAACACCCCCGAGGTTTGACCTACATGCGCAGAGGGACCGCAGTGTTCGCGGCACGCGTGCCACTACTGCGTCCACCCACGGCATTACAAAGTGCTGCTGAGGGCGGCCCGGCTGAACGAACGCCGGTAGCCCAAAGTATGACCATTCTTATTTGTCATACTTTGATACTGGCAAAAAGGTCTCATGATGTAGCTGTTCACCCCGAGCTATAAATGCTCTGGTAGTGGCATTGTCTTTGTATTGTTCACATTTTGGCATTCGCTGGTCTGACACTGGTGAGACTAGGCCATAAAGAAGGCTGTCTCTTGTGTAGGCCAATCAGTTTCAAATACAATGCCACATATAATTATCAGAGGGTGTTTGCTTGCATGCTCACCACAAGTACGTGCGGTGAATGCAGTACTTAATTCCTTGCAAAAGGTTTCTATTTGGTGTTTGAACATCTTAACACGTCCTGTTTTATTGCCAGAAAGGGTAAAACCCCTGTTCTTCTTTTTTTCTTGCCGGTAGCTCCACCTTTGGCAAAGAGAGCGAGCCTCGCTCGGCCCAGTTGAAGTGAGCAGCATAGCCCGGCTATGGCCGTTCGGTCGGCCTGGTCAGAACGGCCGTGAGAATCCGTGATGAGCACGGTTGACTATGTGGGGTGCGAAAGAAGTTCGGCTTACTGTAACATACGGCGTGCACTCGGCAGATGAACTCACCTACAAGCCACGAGAGGCGCCACACACTGGCAGGCTTTGCCTTTTAAGCGTGTCAAACTTGTCCATGACAAGAATACTCATCATGACAGACAAAAAAGTTACAATTTTATGGGAAACTCTGAGTCTCACATGGAACATCAACTGGTCAACGTTGGGCCAACGGTTCCAACCAGAGGTCGCAATCGGGTACCCGATACCCGTACCCTACCCGATACCCGGCTACCCGTACCCGGCCGGGTACCCGGCCGGGTACGGGTACCCATTTGCGACCCTGGTGCGGCCAGGTACGGGTACAGGTAAGGAATCAAAACCCGTTTGCGACCTCTGGTTCCAACCTGGCTTGGACAAATGCAGTTCTTCAGGAACCGCCAATGGTTTTTGTTGCATAACGGGCAAAGTGTGGGGGGGGGGACTGCTTTATGCACACGTTTCTGTGTGTTGCCAGAAACCAAACGTGTACGAATATAAACCGTTGGCAGTCGATGGATGGGGCTGAATAAAATGCAAATATTTGTAATAGAATTTAGCGATGAGCATCTTCGTTTTTTTCCTTATATCTGTACGGTACACAGACGCGCCATCCACTCTTGGCTTCGCTTGCTGCCTCGTTTGCATTTATATGATTTCGATTATTTTGGCTGCTATAAATTTTCACGTAATAAGCTACTTTGTTGAGCTATCATTTGTGGCCAGGTCACTTCTGAAAAATAAGCTAATAGCTCAGTGGGCTTTAACTGGTAAGATTAAAATAGTTTAGTCATTATTTTTTTTTAAGTGATTTGTTTACCTTTCCTATACTTTGCACTCCTGTTGTGTTTTGTACTGTTTGTTGCTGTAACGTTCTGGGACCCTGTGCCCTCGAACTGGGCATCTGTGAAAAATAGTTTCATAGCTCATCGGATTCCTCCTCCAAGTATAAAAAAATTCTGATTCTGATTCACTTTCGACTCTTTAAGCCAGGCATGTCCAAAGTCCGGCCCACGGGCCAATCACGGCCCGCGGTCAGATTTCATATGGACCGCAGCTTCGGTCTTATAACGTGTTAGTTATGGCTCGCCAGCTCTGTCAGAATAAATACATCATAAAACTCATGGAATTTTAAGGTATTCTATACAGCTTGTTCAATGTTATCTGACTGAATGAAAGGCAGAATTGCGTTTTTAGAGTTGTTCCCGTCTGCCTGAGTGGCTTATATTTGGTTACATTGTCATTTGAAAAATAAAGGTAATTGTGACAATGAAATTGTTTTATAACAGTGTGTATTTCCACGTAACTTTTGTGGTTAAAACAATGTCAAAAGGAACTATTGGCCCCCGGGCATCTTCACTTTATCAAATGTGGCCCTCTTTGCAAAAAGGTTTGGACACCCCTGCTTTAAGCGGTCTTGAGCACCAAGTCCCACACTCCCCCCCCCCCCATCCCAATTTGCATGGCGAAGGGAGGAGATGAGAGACACGCGCTGCGTGCATTTGAAAACACTGCCAGGTTATCCCTCCCGTAAGCTTGCAAAGAAGAGCCCTTGAGTCCTAAAGATGCACGCTGAGCCTTATTGACTTCATACCCCACCTCCTCCTCCTCCTCTCTCGCTTTCCTCTCTTGCAGTGGCGACTTTGCCAGGGAAGGCCCGGGGGTGGGGGGGGGAGCCCATTGTTTGGGCCTTATGTTACTTCGTCACAATTGGACACAAGTAGACCTTTGTTGTTTAAAGGGCCACTGCTGGTGGGTTTTAGAGGATGACCCACAGATTCCCGTTTAGACCTTGTGATTGAGTGGCCATTAAATAAGCCGTTTGGTGACGGTGTTTGCTCTCTGCCACATGTTTACGGCCACATTGGTGCATTTAGTTTCATTCTCACTGGGACTATTGCAGCCCTGTGATTTTTCTGGGCCACAATAGACTTGATGCCTTCCAATAGGTATCTGTTTGGTGTTTGGACATCTTAACACCTGTTTTTATTGCCAGAAAGGGTAAGGCCTATTCTTATTTTTTCATCGATAAATACTTGGATTATGAATGATAGATGCGTCACAATGGCAGGTGATTTGTCTTTACGCTCAAACGATAAAAAGGGACGGCGCTCATTCGCGAGCCGATGGTGGAAATTCCTAATTCCTGCGTCTCTCCGTGGGACGAGCAATGTTGACTTCTCACAAAGTGGCAATCGTTTTATCGAACTCGGGAGGTATGATAGACAGAGTGAAACCTTGACCGGAATTTACAGCCATTTTATCAATCCACTGCTAGATGAAGGCGTCCCCGACACTGTCGGCAATGGGGGTTGTTTGAGCATGCTTCACCGTGCTGTTCGTATGTTTCTACGTTGAACTTCTTTCGCACCGTCCGTACGTAGCTAACCGTGCTAATCGGTGGCGCAGGGGAAGGACAACAAACCAAGCACAAAAAGCGTCGAGCACTCGAGGGGGAGTGGGGGAAAGAGCATAGAGCCCTTGCGATGAGGATCCTTGTCGAAATCCCCGCGTCAAGGGAGCAGCGTCAAGTTACCCACCAAACACGGCATGCAAAGAGCATTTCAAAGGGCCTTTGACAAAAGGCCTAGATGCGAAAACAGCTATTTAGAAATTGTTCGCACATTACAACCACGCACCTGCGATCGGCCTTGTCACACGGAGTGATGAGCACGCACACGCACACACACAAAGACAGACAAATATTCCCCCGTATAGCCTTAAAAGACTGTTGGGGCAAGTGGTGTTAGCGAGCACCTATGAAGGCCGGCACGGCACACGAAGGGCTGGGTGTCCAGCATCACGCCCGGCCGAGCTTTGTCTCCCAAGTGGCGATGTTCACACACCGCACCAGGTACTCATTTGAGGCTGAGTCGACCTAGGGGAGGCCCAAGACCGGTTCAGATATTCGTCACCGGTGTTGGTGGCCGGGAGCGGGAATCGAATTCGGGTCTCCGGGTTCGTAGCACAGCACGCTAACCGCTACACACACGCACACATGCACTCTGCAGTCCATAGACTACATGAGTGATGGTCAAAATGTTTTAGAAACTGGTTATTAATCGCGCCTGTATAATTGCTTCATAATTTCAGTATTTTATCTTATTAGCGCGTGTAATCACATATTCTGTTAATGTATAATTTATAAGCTACTTTTATTTAGAAATATCTCGTACCACTGTATGTATGTGTTAGACTTTTTGTAAAAAATAAATCTATTAAAATCAAATCTAAATACAGTAAATCTTTATGACATACGTCAATGCAAGAATGCAGATTTTAAAGGAATGGTTGACAAGTAAATCTTTATCTTGCGTGTACCATTTAGCGGTGTGCCAACATCTATATTGTGTTTGCTAAGTTATGAAATTAACTCGATTCGCCCGACAGCTCAGCTGCACGTGAATGAGAAGCGAGGATCTGTGCCCGTTCATTGCGGCGACCTATTTTCTCGTTTCTAAAACGCAGGGGGTTCGTCAATGTACACAGCGTGGCATACATCTCCAGCTGAGTGCGCGGTGGGAGAGGGCCTCACAATCCAAAAGGTTATAAGTTCAAATCCCGGTTGGGAGGTCCACCATTCAGCCCGTTGTTCATCTGAGCAAAATCACCAAAGCTAAGCAGGTCTTGAGCCTGGATAGTGCTCGGATGGGCGACCACCCCGCGCAAAACAGGCGCTGTAGGCGAGGGGCGAGGAGCTTGCAGATCCTTCCACAGAGAAGCTGTGGAACGTGCCAGTCTGTGTGACCCGTAGCTGGCAGCTGATGGATCACGTGGCAGCAGGGTGGACAGCGATGGGTGCAAGCGATGGGTGCAAGCGAGGTTCACTCTCTGCACTCCGCCCTGCAGGAGCTGTGCTGGAGCTTTCCTCACCCCAACGCACTCTCTCTCACTCTCACCCTGTGTTCCAGGTTTTCCACTGGGCGCAGCTAGAAAACCTCTTCTTCCGCGAGAAGAAGTTCTCCGTGGAAGTGCACGACCCTCGCCGGTAAGATTCATCGCGGATGATCCCTTCCGCGCGCACGAGACGCGGGTCGGTCGCCGCTGCTGCGTTGCCAGTGATGCACGGGCACATTTAACAATAAAACTCAACACGTTCGTCAATAACAACAACATTGTCAATCACTTTAAGGGCACTACACTGTGGCGAGATGTTTACTACCTCGCTTGGTTTACAGGAGGTCGTGGGTTCGATCCCGACCCCGACGCCTGCTGTATATTTGGAGTTTGCGTGTCTCTCCCCGTGGTCGCGTGCTATACATTTCCACATGATAAGCCGATTCACTGAGCTATCATTTGTGGCCAGGTCGCTTCTGAGAAAGAGCTACATAGCTTAGTGGGTCTTACCTGATAAAATAAAAAATTAGTGCCATGAAGACGGGCCACTGCCCAAAGCATCGCCTATAATATTTTTATTTTTTACTTTTAATGGCCGCACACACACGGAGTGTTATTATTGACCAACGTGTTGAGTTGCTGTTGTTGTTGATTGTGCTTGTGCACCACCTCCGATTAGCACGGTTGGCTACGTGTGGTGCGAAAGAAGTTCAACACACACACACTAGCAACGCAGCGGCAGCATCGCAAGATAAGAGCGTCGAACGGTGTGGTGGCAACGTCTCGCAGTGGGACACAATTACAGGAAAGTTTTCGGGAAAAAAAATTAGTCCCCATTCGTTTATCGCCAGCTTCACGAGAATCTCTTGGGCAATATTCTACGGAGCGGTCGTCGCCGAGCTCGTATTCCAACAGGTTTTAAGGTTGTGTTGACGGTTCATGTGAAGAACATCAACATCACCATCTTCATAATAATCATCATCAATATCGCGTGCGTGATGCTTCCAACTTGCAGGGCAGTGAGGTGACCATAAAGGTGGCGGCACAGACGATAAGGTTGCTGATGTCTTTAGCTCCGGGTGCTCCCGTTGTCTGCCACACAACGGATGGAAAGTCCGCGTCTACCCCGGCTCCCGCAATGGGAATGTGGAATTAGCGCTGCTGCCTCGAGGCTTAACCAGCAGCAGAGCGAGGGAGAGACACTTTTGACTTTGAACTTTTGATTTTGCGGAACTGCAAACGAACGAAATGCGATGCCTCCTTCGATTTTGCGCCCCGCATTCAGAGGGGGGGGGAGGGGGGGTTGGGGGGCGGTTGCCGACCACTAAACGCGGCACGCGGTTGTCAAGCCAGCCGAGTGGTAAATGAAACGTATCGCACACGCCATCAATCCTAATGAAGATAAACCGTCGGCTCTCGAAATGCACAGAGGCCCCTTCAAGTGCAAGAGAGCCCATCTTTATCTAACGAGGGTTACGGCTGCTCTTCCACATTAATTTCCTGTACTTGGGTTTTTTTTTTCCCTTCTGTGTGTGTTCATGTTTTCATCTTTATGCTCCTACGCGTCCGTGTGCGTTGGGGTTTTGCTAAGCACTACACCGCCGCTTGTGGGGTAGAGGTAGCGTAGTGGTTAGCGCAATGCGCTACGAACCCGGCCAGCCGAGTTCGATTCCCGCTTACGGCCGATCACAGTGGCGAACACGTTCCTTCGGAGTGGGCAGGAAGGAACTTGGTTGGACAGCGCATTCGTGCGATCCCGTGTCACGCGGCGCAAGCTGCGTGGGGCGGCGCGTCACGTGGTGCTGAGCCCGCCCGAAGCGCTCTATGAAATACAAATCGAGGGCGTGGCTATGCACGACAGACAGACAAATAATCCCTGGTGGGCAGTGTGGAACTGTTGTTCCTACCTGTAATATCTGAGCCTATCCTGGGCTTTCCCCTTGGTTAACTCAGCCTTAAAAGAGTCACTTGGTATGAGGTATAAACACTGGGGGGTCAAAGGCTGCTGGGCGTGGTGTTGGCCACCCACCCCCTCGTGTGCCTTCATAGGCGCTCGCTACCAGCACTTGCCCCAAAAGTATGTTGAAGGCTATACTGGGAACATCATTAGACCTCCTTTGCCAGTACCAAAATATAATAATAGGGGTTTTCCCCTTTTTTCTGGCAACAAAACTGAAACCTTTTTACAAGGATTCATGTCTGCATTAACCACAATACTTGCAGTAAAAATGCAAACAACACACACTGTGATAATATTGGTCCACACCAAGGGACGGCTTTCTTTTGAGCCTCGACCCAATTGGTGCTCGACCACAGGACGCACCAATTTATATATTTACGCGATCTAACCCAAAAAAAACCTCTCTTATGGATGATATTGGTCGCGAAAGCCTACTTGTTAAACTGTTGTGGGGCCTTTCTTGGCACAAACAAGCGCTCACTATGAGCTGATTCGCAGCGTTGTGGTTTAAAGCATAGGTGTGATAATAGTGCTTGGCTCACGATGATGGTTGCAAGTTTCAATCCCTTTCGGGGGTAACAACCTGTGGCCCATTGTCTCGCTGCAGTCGGTAATACGAGGAGCGTTGCTTTGCCACAAAATGAACCGTGGTCATCCACGGTTGCCCCAAAAGTATGTTGCGTGCGAAACAACTGGAAATGTCAAATGTACACCACTGGCTCAGAACGGACCCCCACTGCTGGGAATGAGGACAACTTTGCAAAACATAAAACTCAAACACGTTACATAAAAAACACCGTGGCCTTTAAAGGAAATGTAGATGATAGGTGACGTTTTGCATAATGGCCCTTCTTCACTGATAATTAAAGCATATCCCTTTTCATTTTACGCTGTGATCGTTTTCATTGTAAAATTCCACGTGAAATTCGCAGCCTGTAGATGCCACGTCCCCCTTGGATTTTTACAATAATATTAAACCGTACGTTTTACCGATAACTCGTGGGCGTAATACACGTGTACATTTCTACGCGCGCGCACACACATACGCATGCGCAAAAAGCACACGCGCGTATACAGAGCTTTTTTTACGGGGGGGCAGATGCTCACTGGTGCAGTAGACTGCTCAATTGAAGGGTACTCCAGTAAATGGGCTGGGATTCGTGTTACAGCATGGTCGGCGCTTTCAGGACACGTGATTAACTTGGTCGATAGCGCAGGCACAAGGCACACGCCCGCTGCCGCTACCCTCCGAGAGAGAGAGATGCATTCACGGGTTCTTGAGAATACGCTCGTGAAGTCGAAGCGTGCGTTCCTGCTCAAACGAGCATAGATGCGGTTCGCTCATCTCATTCGTTTATATCCCTGCAGAGCCACTTGGTGGAAATTCCACATTCCTATGGTGGTGGCGAGTCTCTCCTCCAACGAAACCAACCGCTGTTGTTGACTGCCCCGCAGAGACTTAGTTTACCGACCGTGCAATGATGATGATGGCAGTGGCCAGATGTTAACTACCTCGCCTGGTATGCAGGATGTCGTGGGTTCGGTCCCAACCCTGACGCCGTATATTTGGAGTTTGCATGTTCTCCCCGTGAGCGTGTGGATTTTTCTCCGGCTTCTCCGGTTTTTCCCTCCACATTTAGAATTAACGTGCATTTAGAGTATTTGGCTGCTGTAAATTTTCACGTGATGATAATAAGGCACTTCTCGTTGAGCTATCCTTCGTGGCAGGTCGCTTCTGACAAAGATCTGTTTAGCTCAGTGGGCCTTACCTGGTAAAATCGAAAAAAGTGCTTAGTTTAGTTTTACAGTCGGTCAACCTTCTGATTTTCTGAGCCGCTACGCTCTCGCCCGCTGAGCTAGCCGGCGGGGTTTTTTGAGAATGCGAGCGCGCGTCTTTTGCCCAAGAGCGTGAATGTCTCGCGGAAGAGGAAGTGGAGGGCAGGGGCAGGAGAGGGCTGTGCGTTCGACCGACTACCCGAGCTGTCTCCGCAGGGCACATCGTCGTCTCGAACTCTGGTTCGGGCGTGCGGCCGTGTGATCTCCCGGCACGCTCGGTGGGGGGGGGGGGGGGCCACGATAGCGGGATGTTAACTCCCTCGCCTGGTATACAGCGGGTCGTGTGTTCGATCCCGACCCTGATGCCTGCTGTAGATATGCAGTTTGCACGTTTCTCTCTCTCCCCACGGTTGCGTAGATTTTTCTCCGGGTCCATCCGGCTTTTCCCTAAACATTTAGAACCGACGTGCATTTAGAGTATTTGGCTGCGATAGATTTCAACACGGTAAGCGACCTCCGATTTGCATGGCTTGCTACGTACGGTGCGAAACCAGTTATGGATACATATATACATGCTTCGTTGAGCTATCATTTGAGGTGAGGTCGCTTCTGAAAAATGGCTAAATAGCTCGGTGGGCCTTGCGTGGTAAAATTAAAAAAATAGTTTCGTTTGCATTGTATGAAAACTGCTGGCGTGAAGAAAAACGTGTGAGTGCCGCATGGACAGCATCTCTTCTGTATGCATGTACGTTGAACTTCTTTCGCGCCGTACGTAGCCAACCGTGCTAATTGGAGGTTCAGGGGAAGGAACCATACATATGTTGTCAAGCATGGCCATGTAGTATGTAAAAAAATTAACCCGTAAAAACAAAGTTATTCACTATAAATCCTTTATATGCGTGGCGGCTAGAGTCCTCTCGTCCTCTGGCTTGAGATGGCTGCCACCTATGGGTCAGATGATTGCCTGCCACCATTAAGCAATTGGTAATTAAATATAATTAATTTTTTCCTAAAAAACGAAAATAAATTGTCACGCACAACGAGTCTGTGTGCAAAATGTCAGCTCGATTGGATCACGGGAAGTGGGTTAAAAAACGACCGAAAAATGTGCACGGTCGTAAGCGCGCAAGCAAGCAAGCAAGTGAACTTAATATAAAGAATTTAAAAAAGGGGTTAACACTAACAGCCACAAGGCTACCTGGAAATCCATCTATTTAGTCATTTTCCTTTATTCCGTGCGGTTTTGTATTTTTTTAATTTCCTTTGTGTTTATTCATTATTTTTGTTTGCAGGGCGTCAGTGGGCCGCCGTTCGTTCGGGCAGGGTGACATCGTCGTGCACTCCTGGTACGGCACCCCGTCGCTCATCAAGGCCGTGTGGGCTATGGCCATAAGCCAGCATCAGTTCTACCTCGACCGCAAGCAGAACAAGGTAAGGAGAGGCTTTTCCCGCGTGCCTACTGGTGTGGGGGCGGCGGGGGGCGGCGGGGGGGGGGGGTTGGCGGGGGGGGGGTCGGCGGGGGGGGGGGGCAGCAGGGGGGGCGGTGGGTGGGGGGGGGCGGCCCCACCCCCACCCACCCACCCCCACCCTGGTTCTCAAACAGAGCAAGTTGGCTTGGCCCGTTATTCCCATGGTAGTAATAATAATACTTTCATTTTATATCGCATCATTCATGCCAACAGCATCCCACAACGCTGTAGATGAATTATTTCTAAAGGACCAAATCCCATGCACTGCGATCATCTGCGTACGGTGCGAAAGAAGCCCAACATCATTGGAACCTCCTTTTCCAGGAGAAAAATATGATAATTGTTTTTTTACCCTTGACGCAAAAAGGCGTAATCTCACATGGTCCAACACCACGTGAGACTAGGCTCTAAGAAAAGCTGTCTCGGGTGTGGAGCAATCAATTTCAAGGACAGTGCATACATTATCAGAGTTGTGTTTTTTGTTTGCATTCCAACCGCAGGTATTGTGGTCAATGCAAACATGACTCCTTGTAAAAAAGGTGTCAGTTTTGTTGCCAGATAAAAAGGGTAAAAAAACAATTATCAAGCCCAACACCCTACTACCAAACTAAATCAGAAATGAATAAACAAATTCAGAAATGGCATCAAAACAGAAAGTACAAACAGCCAAAAAGTGATCACAACCTGGTCCAAGCCGGCAGCATCTGGACTGCTTGGTTCGCTTTAGCGCAAGTTAAATTAAACTAAAACTACGAACTATGTTTATTTTACCAGGTAAGGCCCACTGAGCTATACAGCTCTTTCCAGAAGCGACCTGGCTATCACAAATGATAGCTCAACGAAGTAGCTAATCGCGTGGACATTTATAGCAGCCAAATACCTGATTCTAAATGTGGACGGAAAAACCGGAGGACCCGGAGAAAAATCCACGGAACCACGAGGAGAACAAGAGAGACATGCAAACTTGATATATGCAGCAGGCATCAAGAGTCGGGATCAAACTCACGACCTCCCGCACACCAGGCGAGGTAGTTCACATCTCGCCACCATGGCGCCCCAAAGTTTATAAGTGGAGCTATAGGTGCAGTCCTGAAATGTTTTGCTCGCACAACTGCTCGCGAGCTCTATAGACTGCCCCTCTAAGAGGGTATTTGGCCTACTCGTCCATGCCGGTCAGACGTCTCGCAAGACGTGGGAGAACCCACACTTTACCCCACCACGTAAGATCTGCCGATCGACTATAGTGTACTCGATTTAAAGCTTTCGTGACTGCAGGGATTCATCTTCTTGGTTCTTTCGGTACAGTCATGTAGAATGGAAATGATAAAATAATAAAAAATAAAACATAATAAAATAATTCTCACGACGTTTCGGCCACAACGCAAGCAGCCGTCCTCAGGTGAAGAATAGGTCTGTCGAGAAGACAGAGTCTGAATGGACCGAAAGAACCAAGAAGATATAGTGTACTCATTAATACAGCTGGCTAGGCAGAGAGTGGGATTGGGGGGGGGGGGGGTGGTGATTCAAGATTATTGCCAATTACTTCAACTGCCACTCCGGGACATCGAACCGGTGACCTTCTGGACCAACCACGCCTTCACGGCAGCGTCCCAGCCCGAGCGTAGCGGTGTGGAGTCTGCGCCACGTGACTTTTGCATCAAGTCCGTAGACAATAATTTTATTCCAAAATACAGGTTTGGAAAGCCTGCGTGTTAATCCAATCATCTTCTTGCGAGCTACGACGTGAGATCATGCGCCGTGAGCGCAAGGGCGGCATTCGGAGCGACGTGCCGACGATGCGTTTGGTCACGCCAGCATCCTCCCCCCCCCTCCTCCTCCCAACCAACCCCCTTCTCGACTCCGTCGGTAGCGCCGCGAACGCCCCTGGGTCTAACCGCCGCCGCGTATCTTTGTCGACGCAGGCGAAGATCCCGGTGGCGCGCAGCATGAGCGAGATTGCGGAGGACATGGGCGACCTGGAGCTGACGGGGACGTCGAGGATGAGCAAGGGACTCGGCGAGGGAGGCGTGGGCAGAGGCTCGTCTGGTACGGCTCAACTTTTGTTGTCCTTCCGCCCCCCCCGGCCCCGCACACCTCCACCAAATAAGCACGTTTGGATAGGTGCGCTGCGAAAGAAGTTCAACGTGTGCAAAATACAATCTATAAACTATTTTTATTTGTATTCTTAGGTTTTTTCGGTAAAGTCACGTAGGTAAAACATTAAAATTAATAAAAGTAAAATAAAATAAAAAATCACGACGTTTCGGAGGCAACACAAGCTTCCGTCTTCAGGTGGAACCGTCACAGCAACGACAGCTGTATCAAGTAAATGAGAGATTGCAGGAGCTACCACTCCGTTTATATAATGGTTGGCCAGGTAAGGCCCACTGGCTCTTTTTCAGAAGTGACCTGGCCACGAATGATAGCTCACCGAAGTGGCTTGTCATGCTTCGCAGGGCTATAAACAAGAGGTGAGCACCAATGCCTCCAATTAATTGAGTAGGAAATCACTTCGATTTTTTGTTTTACTTTTTAGTCTGGCATGGCATGCGAGCACCTGCTTCCCATAGTACAACCCGCACCTGCAATTAGCACACTTGGCTACGTACAGTGCGAAATAAGTTAAACATACATACAACATACCGTACATAAACATCGGATCCACACCAGAGGCCATGCTAAAACAAACCTGGCGTGCCTCAAGGGAGGTGTGAGATTATTTTTCCACTGCGGAAGCCGAGCCGTACCGCTGACGTCACGAGCAGTGAACGAGTCGATTAACAGCGGCCACCCTTGGCCCTGGTTTGGGCCCACAGTTAGATCCGGACGCCTCGTGAGGTCAGAGTTTGACGGTTTGGTTCTGGCTCGGCCCGGCAGAGGAAGGCCAGTGGAAAAACACCTGGCGTGGTGGAAAAAGGGATACGGTTGGGGCGGTGTGGCCATTTCACCGCGGCCACCTTTGCCTCACCCCCCCGGGGCGATGATATTTACACGGCACAGCAGTGGGGAGTGGGGGGGGGGGGAACTAATTTCTGCTTCAGCCTGAGGGGTGACCTTGTGGAGGCGCTGTGGACCATGTTCGTAGAATGAGTGCCAAAAAAGGTGGTCAAGTACGATCAGAATTCACAGCGCAGGTCACTGGAATCGGACGAATCGCAGGGCGGAGTGAAAGGAGCGATTACATTAGAGGCCCTTAAGCTTTTACAAAATAACAAACGCAAAAAAACACACACAAATAACAAACGTGGCATAGCCCCAAAATTCTGGGAAGCCCTTTCAGGACCTTTTTGAAAACCAATCCACACGGCTCAGTGGCTCGTAGTGGCTGCGAGCAGCCCACAACCGCTTTGGAAGTGACACCAATTCCCAGCGATGTATCATTTTTCCTCGTTATCACATTAGCATACGTACGGCTCCACCTTGTCCCCCCCTCCCTGCTGGCAGCCACGCCAGCTCTCACGGCTTGGCTCAACACAGAACTTTTTTGTTCTTCTGGAGTCCTTTTGTTTTTGTGGATCGAAGCGTTCAAAAGGCTGCAACACCGCTCGCTCCCAATGTACGTTGTTACGCGTAGAAAAAAAGCCTCTGGACTGTAACACGATTGTCCCCTTGTATTCCTAATTGGAGATTTCCACGGATGCTCTTCCTGGCCCCACTCTTCGTGAACCCCCGGCAGTTTAGGTTTCAATAAGCCCAACGTTAAACTGGGCGCAAAAATATAACGCGGATTGTTAAATGTCCCGCCAGTTGGTAAGGGAGTGCAGGTCTCATAGGTAAAGTTTTGAGTTTAAATGCACATCACGGGTTGAATGAGCCCCCCCTCCTCTCCTACATCTCTCTGGGATTAACAAAGTGAGCACCATAGGCATCAGAGGTTTTTTGGGATTATGTCAAATGGGTCATGCGTGTCATTTGCATAGCTCGTGCGTACTTTGTTTAACAGCCAGAGGCAAACGCTACAAACTGAGAACATGGAAAATGAAGTCTCATATCCAATACGTGTTGTCAGTATTTCCATGACAATCCTCCTCACTTGATGCACGGAAAGCCTTGGTGGGTTTCCAGATTCATTTATTTTATTTTCACACGATTTCATTTGGAATATTTGTATATAATCTATCTATTATGAGTCTTGTTATGCCCGGTGAAGCAAAGTGAGGAAATTGCCCGGACAGAGGCCACACAAACAAGGAAATCCCCCCGCTCAAACAGCGCGGCAGGGGATACGTTGGTAGCAACCAACTCGTTGTCCTGCCCTCCACTGTACGCCACCTCGCCAACCAGGCCAGTGTGGGTGTCGTGCACATCTCCGTACCAATCAGTCAACCCATCATCGAGGCTGCCACGAAGTAGAATTATTGAACCAGAAGTGATGGCGCATCCATTGCCCTAGCGTGCCAGGATGTCGTTGGTTATGTCACGTGCTCTGAAGGGCCATTGCCCAAAACGTCAAATATTACATTTGTTTTTTTTACTTTTAAGGCCACATGCAGTGTTGTTGTTGTTGATGAACGTGTTGAGTTTCGTTTTACTTGTGCAAGGGCATGACTGCCAACGCAGTATCACCGGATAAGTTGTTCATAAATCTGTTGCTTCCGAGGCTCGTTTCTCACACCTATAGGGGTCGGGCCCTGTGTTTTAAAGGCGTGTGACGAAGCCTGCAGCGGTGGTCCCTTCCAAATAGCCCTTTGCCCAACAACGAAACGGCGCACACCTGTGCGGCCGCCGTTCACAAAAGACGGGGGTTTTTTTGTGCGTGTTTACGATGCGTCAAAATAAATAAAAAACACCGGTCGGTTAATTTAACCCCGCTTCCCCCTCGGGTGAGAACTCGCCGCTTCAACACCAACGCCTCCCTCCCACCGTGCGGCTCGCAAGCGGGACACGCGGTGTGGACGGGGGGGGTGGGGGGCGAAGCGGGGGGATGAGGAAGGGTGACCCCCCCGGAAGGGGCTGAAGGAAACGCCGCTTGTCACGCAGGTGTGCGGATTCTTATTCTAAAACGGAGGGAGGGGGGGCGGGGAGGTAGGGACGTGGTGGGGGGGGGGGGCACCTCTTGCGCAAATCGTGTCCCTGAACTGCGGAAGACCGGGGGGTGGGGAAGGGGGTGGGGAGATTGGATCCAGCGCAGGAAGTTTACTTGGAGGCCTCTTCCTGCCATTCATGCGCCGTCGGCTTGCGTCGGCGCTTCACGGGGCCTCCGGTGGTCTCTGGCCCACAGTTTGGGACCCGCGTTTCTAGGAAAAGCCTTTTACCGCCCATAAAAAATTATTGTTTTAAGCAATCGCTGTTTATTTCTGGATTGAAAAGTCACTTCGGTAGGACTGATTTGTGCGTTTCACGGTTGGCTACGTACGAGGCGAAATAAGTTCAACATTCATTTATTTATTTACAAATGTCAGCCCTCGTGGGTTTCAAGTTGCTTCTTCGTGAAGGCTCTGCATCGGGATGTTTGTCCGTTCAGTTCGGTGTGTGACGTTTAATCATGAGAATTTTTGCCGCCGTATGTGTGTGTTCCCAATTGTGAACCCATGGCACCTGGGTCTGTTCCATGACCTGCTGCCAGCGGGCGTTCGGCACTTTATGTGGCCTTAACATGCACATAGCCTGGCACAAGCGCCGTTGGTGGCGGTTGTTGTTTCCAATTAAGTAATTTGCGGGTTTTGGACCAAAAATTCGGACCACGGCGCTGGCACAGAGTGTGGCCTGCTCTTGCCAGTGACCTCAGGAGATCTTTAAAGTCCACTGTCAAGCAGACGGCACGTGTTTATTGGCTATTAAATCTGCAGTATTAACCAGGGTGGCTGCCGAATTTGAACGGGGAACTTCCGCAGCAAGCTGTGGACACGCGACCACTTCTCCATGTCAAATACGCGGATACTATGCTTGGCTTGTGTGTGTACTCGTATAAAACACCTCATTGGTAGGTAGCACTATACATGTCACGACTAGACAGCCTGTTGCTTATTGCTCTCGCCATGGAAAAACTCGAGCGTTTGGCAATTTCACGTCAAGCCAGATACAACGTCGACCACCTGTGATCTGCTGCGAAGGCAAAAAGTTAAAGGTCCCGGGAAATAATGTGAAACATTAGGAAATTGTTTCATCGTGTGCAGCTGTCGTAGCCTCGACTGAAAATGTGAAAATCACCCGCAACTAATTCTTAGTGTCTTTAAACAACGACCTCTGTGATAATGGCCCCTTTTGTTTTGGGCTTGCCTGGGCAGGAAAGCCTCTTTAGCCATCACATTGTGACAAGGTACATAATTGGTTTATGGATGCTGACATTAAATCTGTGTGCGTGTGAAGGGGGGAATGGGTAGGGGTAGGGTAGCGGTTAAGCGCGCCGCGCTATGAACCTGGTGACCCGAGTTCGATTCCCGCTCACGACCGCCAACACCAATGACGATTATCAGAACCGGTCCTGGGCCTCTCCTAGGTCGACTCAGCCTCAAATGAGTACCTGGTGCGGTGTTTAAACATCGCCACTAGGGAAACAAAGGTGGCCAGGTATGGTGTTGGCCACTCACCCCCTCGTGTGCCGTGCTGGCCTTCATAGGTGCTCGCTAACAGCACTTGCCCCAACAGTCTGTTCATCTTTGTTTTTGTATGTTATTATATCGAGTAGGATATCTAGAATGGCTCAACCCATGTCACCTGGGTCTGTCCCACGACCTGTCAGCCGACACCTCATGTGGCCTCCAAGTGCACCTAGCCTGGCGTAGGCACTGTGGTGACGTCGCCGCCGCTTGGTGGCGAATGGCGAAGGCTGTTGTTGTTCTTTCTGGTACGTCGGTTTGGGTAATCTTTGCATCCTGCGTGTGTGTACACGTTTGAACATTTACTCTTAATCACGGGTGTGACAGCTGAGGCAACCGCTGAGATCGTGGAACAAAAATATCTCTCCGATCGGCTCCAGTGCTCCGTACTATTATGCTCAGCCAGCCCACCCGGGCTGTCACTTACAATGCGTGCCGTCGTTGACAATGATGGTGACGACGTAAACCCAAATTGGTACCGGCTCGCAGAGGAACGACGGCGGGAGTGACTTTGAAGCCGCGCGACTCCTCATCGCCCGGCCTGTCCGCGTGTCATCGCGCGTCGCACTGTACGTCTGTTGAACTTCTTTCGTGCCGTACCTAGCCAACTGCGATGATCGGAGGTGCGTGGGAGGGGAGGACAAGAAACTTAACACAAAGATTAATTCTAAAGTAATGAGTTTGTGAATCTCGATGATTTAAAAGTGCCATAGCTCCCAGCGTTCCAGACTGCCGCAGAAGTGTATCTGAAAGAGCGCGATGCGCCGTGTGATCGTCTTTGTTTTGATGGCCACAACCAAACTTAGCTCATCATCGCTACGAAATAAAAACCGTAGATGGGGGGCAGTTGGGGGGGGGGGGTGGGGGGTTCATAATAAGAGGAACGTCAGCGTCTCGAGCGAGTGCGGAGGACCGGCGAGTACCGGCGGCCCTGTGAATAGTTGTGGACATTCCACATTACAATGGCGAGAGCCAGTCCTGTCCTGAACAAGGTTGAGACTGGCACAGCTCTTCCGGCTACAGGACACGGCCAGATTTCGTGCTGGCAAGTCGAGCCGTTTGTCAGAATCGGAACGTCGCACGTGGTCGCGTGTGGGAGTTGTTAACCCTTTCCCGTTCTGAGACGTCTGCAAGTTGCCGGGTGGTTGGGGGTTCCGTTCACCGCTGAATCTCAGAACTCGTGAGCAGCTCAACGTCAATTTGATTAAGAGAGGCGTAGTAGCGCCGTTTTTTTCAAACACATGATACCAACTGCAGAGAACCGTAGGGGCACGAACGCACTCTACGACACTGCGCCACACGCCCTCCCGCATGACCTTGTGGGAGCCTCTGTACTGATAAAGTTATTTTATTTACGTTAGTTATGTACGTGTACTGACGACGTACACGTACGTCATCAGTACACATACGTCATCGGAATGGGAAAGAGTTAATTTGTACTTGGGTTTTGTTAGAGTTTTCATATAATGTGTGCATAGGCATTGTTTTGCAAGTTTCCTATTGGCTCATTGCCGGATACATTCGTCAATAAAACTGCACAGCACCAAACTATTTGTTTAATTCACTGGTTCAATAGGATAGCGTTTAGTCGTCATCATATTCTCTTGGTTCTGGGTTTGAACTTAGAGTGCCACAGGTGTGGGACACATTGCTCTCTTTAGCGGGGTTTACCGAACTCGTCGCTGCTCCAACATTTTAAGCGCGGAGAGCCTACATTTAAAATCCGAGTTAAATTTAGGGTTTAATTTCAATACTGCAGAGATAATTACATGCCATTAACACGGCTGCCACACACACACGAGCCTCACTGCCCATAAATGGATACAAAACGCACCGCCTACAATCCTCGCTCCAATGCGCGCTGCCACTCCGTGTCGGCTTTGGGGGGGGGCGGGCCGGGGCCGGTGATTTGGCTCGCTCTTCGCTTCTTTATTTTCGCCAAATAAATGTTCGAATGCCAATTCGCGGGAGGTGGCGTTGATTATATTGCACCATCGCAACCGCCTACCGGGGGTGGGTGGGGGGGGGGCGGGCTCACAACATGCTGGCAGTGAACGATTGCAGAGGGCCGTTACCCGAAATGTTCTGGGAGTGCGTTTTAACCGCAGTCTTTTCGACCGCTCGCATAGAGTCAGAATATGTATTTATACTGCAGGAGGAATCCCATGAGATATAAAGCTCTTTTTAACAGATGTCCAGTAGTAGCAGGTCAGAACGTGACAACAATAAACAATACAGAAACACGATAGGAGTGCAAAGGAAAGGTAAAAAAAAAATCACCTGAAAAAATATAACAAGTGAAAATAAATTTTGATTTGAGACGTCGTGAGAATTTTATTGATTAATATTATTTTATTATTTCCCTTCTACGTGACTTTACCGAAAGAACCAAGAATACAAGTAAAAATAAACTATTTATATTTTAATCTTGATTTGAAGCTTTCGTGACTGCAGGAATCCATATTCTTTGGTTCTTTCGGTAAAGTCAGGTAGGTAGAAAAAAAATAGATCACGACGTTTCGATCGCAACAACAAGCAACCGTCTTCAGGTGCACTCTCATGCTCACAAGTTCCTCACAATCGCTGGCCCCCCCACCCTCTTGCCCGATGCGGCAACCCAATCCCCCTCCCGCCCCCCCCCCTCTCGGGTCAATATAATGCCTCGTCCACAGCAGTCCGATTCTTTCACCTGAAGACGGTCGCTTGTTGTTGCGATCGAAACGTCGCGATCTATTATTTTCTCTACCTACGTGACTTTACCGAAAGAACCAAAGAGTATTTATATTTTACCAGCCAAGGTCCACTGAGCTACATACCTCTTTTTAAGACGCGACCTGGCCACAAATGATAGCTCAACGAACTAGCGTATCACGTGTGGAGCATTATAATGTGAAGCGGCAGGACTTCAAACGATGAGTTCACATCCCAGCCTGGTCACATTGACCCGTGACCCCTCCATGGTCAGTCACGTGATTGCTATCTGGTAAGACTGCACCACGTGGTCTGGGTAATCAACGCTGCATGCCTGTCTTACGGACATCCTGGCACCTGCCTTAGGAATGTGGAACTTATCCGACCTCTTTAAGACCACCAGTGTAGATTAACAATGCCGATTTGAAGATGGATTTGTTTTTATGCCAGTACTGATGAAGGTTAAACACTTAAAAGGAATATTATTCATTTAGGTCATTAGATAAACGTCAACTCTAGATGGCAAGAGCGTTTTGTTTCTCTAGCCTGAATTGTCGGAAAAAGTGAAACGTTTTGCTTTGTGCCTGACAGGTTATTTGATGATGATGCTGCTGCTGTGTTGGCAGCGGTGCACAAACACAATGAACGACAACAAAAACTCAACACGTTTGTCAATACATATTAGCGCGGTTGGCTGCGTATAGTGCGAAAGAAGCTCAACATACATACAATAATACATACAATAACAGCACCGTGGCCTTAAAATAAAAATATAACAGGTGCCTTTTTGAGTACTGTCCCTCCCGTGCTATGAAGTAGGACCATTGCCTGAAACGTTGCCCATCTATTACAAATATTTTTCTTTTCAAGCCACAGTGTTATAGACAAATATGTTGAATTCTGATTTAAAGCTTTCGTGACTGCAGGGATTCATCTTCTTGGTTCTTTCGGTAAAGTCACGTAGAATGGAAGTAATAAAATAATAATAATAAAACATAATAAAATAATTCTCACGACGTTTCGGCCACAACGCAAGCAGCCGTCCTCAGGTGAAGAACAGGTCTGTCGAGACGACTCTGTCTCGACAGATTTTATTATGTTTTATTTTTATTAATTTATTATTTCCATTCTACGTGACTTTACCGAAAGAACCAAGAAGATGTTGAATTCTCTTTTATTTGTGTCTGGTTTTTTTTTTCTATTCGGAGATAGCTTCAGTGGAAATAAAATGAACTTGTCAATTGTCAGCAGTGTATTTGTTTTACAGAATTAATCAGTAACATGGCGGCTGCTCGCTGCCCATCTGATGCTGCCCATTGCTGAGCACGTGCATTCTTTACAAAAAAAAACGAAGAGAAGCATAAACCAAAATCCTCACCACATTCATTTTGAACATTGCTTTGCAACCGAAATAGAATGCAGCAAGTAGGCGAATGCTTTGGAGAATCGCCCGGCCCTGCTTGTCTTGACTCAATGCTGCTGAATGTATGCACTCCCAGAATGCAGTGCGGCCGACAGGTCACGTAAGAGCTACTTTTGTTTTTGTTGTTATGTGGAGAGACCGATACAAAAAGGAGACGTGGTATCCGTTTATTTCAGTGCTCGAAAGAAGATCCACTACCTTTCTGCCATAAGAGATTAGCAATAACAAAAATTATGAATTATGTGTTTTTTAAATAAAAAACATGTTGGATCATTTTCTCTGGCCTAACGAAACTATTCAACTGTTTATCCAACTATTTTTTATTTGACCAGGTAAGGCCCAAAGAAGTGACCTGGCCACGAATGATAGTTCAACGAAGTGGCTGATGTGAAAATGTATAACAGCCATATACTCTAAATCCCCCCCCCCCCCCCTCCAACTACACACTGCTCACAAAAGTGCCCCTGCCGTGTTCATCAGCATGGGTTTCCCTCCCGTTGCGAATGAATGCCCAGTGATTAATCCCCGCCTTTGTTATTTTAATTCACGAGTGAACAATGGTGCGTCGAGATTTTCTCATGTTTTTTTTTTATTGAACTGTAACAGCGCGGAGGCTTTGATGATGTGAAGCGACGGTGCCTCTTTGCTTTGCCTGGTTCTGAACCGTCCCTCTTTTCCTTTGCTGCCTGACCCAAAGATGTCGCAGAGAAACTGCCTAAAGGTCAGTACGCCTTCCCTTCACGTGCCATTCCTAGCGGGCTGTCTTTTTTTTACTTCACGTCGAGCGTGCTGTGTGCTAATTCGCTCTGCGTGGTCGGTCGCGGTTGGGTGCACGACCCCCAGGCATCCCCCCCCCCCTTCCCCCCGAGATGCTACAAGGCGGCCGGATCGGTCGGCCCGTGTAAAATATCCACGAGCGACTCTCTGGAAACCAGACGTGGCATTCTACGGCACGATTCGTCTCCGTGCGTGAATCCCATTCGTCGCATCTTGGGCGCGGTGCTGTCCACGCCACCCCCTCGTGTGCCGTGCCAGCCATCGTGGGGTGCTCGCCAACAGCACTTGCCCTGACAGTCTGTTAAGCCTGTACAGGGGATCTTTGCCTATATATATATGCAGTACGATTGTGGCTTTGACTAGATCACCTGCAATGCACCCCCATCTCGGAAGCTAAGCAGGTTTTGAGCCTGGATAGCTCTCGGATGGGCGACGGGTTGCTACAGGCAACTGCGATGCCATGCAGTGGGGGTATTGCAGCAAAATCCATATCTGCGTTGCACTCCCCCGTCTTCATCAATCCGCATCGACCGGCATGGTGAAAAATGGTCTAATTAACCCCCGTGACCCCAAGGGGGCCGTACACGTACGTAGCCAACGAATGAGCGCGGTTGGCTACGTACGGTGCAAAAGAAGTTCAACATGCATACATAATACACACACACTTACCGCACACACAATCTCCTGCGGGCTGCGTGCGTCGTAAAGGCCACTGCAGGTAGAGCAGTGGGCACAGCGGTTGAACGCTCTGTGCCGTGAACCCCGCGTGACCCGAGTTCACATCCCGAACCGGTCACGGAGGGTCTTCCAATTCAGCAATCCCCTCGCATTGACCAACAGGGTGAAGTATGGTCAAACAACACTGCCCCACCCCCCCCTGCAAGACCAATGCGGTGTTGCGAGGAGGCCCTCGTTGAGCAGTGGATCAGCGGCAAGGCTGTACAATAGTCGATGATTGGGATCTTAACGTGGCAGAAAAGAAACTCGCAAGGCACGGGCTTTCGAATGCTTTGCAGGAGTGTGCATTTTCTACACGCGCTACTGCCCGCGTGTGTGTGTGTGTACGGTTCACGCTCGCCAACCTCCCCCCCCCCCACCCTTTGTCGATTTCAGCGGTAGGCTGCCGAATTTTTTTTTCCCTTTGACGTTCGCCGTTTGACTGCGAACCGATGATTTTTTTCTTCTACCAAGGCAACAAAATGGAAAGAGACCGACGCTCCTTACGCGCTATGATGCGGCGCGATCACGCTTAGCGAAAATTGCTACGCTGTTATATTTTTAAATAAATAGTTTAAATCCAATTTCCAGCCTACCGCTGCAGAGTTGGCAAGTGCGATCTATATACGAGCCTAAATCAGAGGAACCCACAGGGTGGGTCTGCAGCTTAACATACTGTCCCTGTAATTGCGTGCAGAAGACTTCTTCTCTCGGGCGCTCTGCCATGCCAGCGGCAGGTGATGGAGTGTAAGTAATCTGCTGGGTTAAAGGATTAAGGTCAGGGGGGGCCCTCTCGTGGTATGACCAGGCCCCCCCTTAGTGAGAGTAAGCACGGATCGGTAGTTGTTCTTACTTCAGATGTAACTGCGCATACAAGGGGGTGGGTGGCCAGCACCACGCTCGGCCGCCTTTGTCTCCCTCGCAGCGATGTTTCCACACCACACCAGGTACTTAGTCGACCTAGGGGAGGACCAGGACCGGTTCAGATAATCGTCACTGCTGTCGGTGGCCGTGAGCGGGAATCAAACCCGGCTCGCCGGGTTCGCAACGCGGCACGACCAACCGCTACGCCACTGCTCCCCACGGCACATGTACACACACACACGCACACAAAGATAAATATCCCCCGTATAGCCTTAACAGACTGTAGGGGCAAGTGCTGTTAGCGAGCACCTATGAAGGCCAAAACGGTATACGAGGGGGTGGGTGGCCAGCACCACGCCCGACCGCCTTTGTCTCCCCAGTGGCGATGTTTACACACCGCACCGGGTACTCATGTTGAGGCTGAGTCGACCTAGGGGAGGCCCAGGACCGGTTTAGATAATCGTCACTGGTGTTGGCCCTGAGCGGGAATCGAACCCGGGTCGCCGGGTTCATAGCGCAGCGTAGCGCTAACCGCTACACGACTCGCGTGCACGCTCACACAACACCCGTACTCGGTTTAACGTCTTGAGCTCAACTCCTACCGCTGCCTTCCTCTGCGCCGCTCTCCCGCCCCCCCCCCCCCCCCCCCCCTTGCCACGCGCACCTCGATGATTCTAGCGGCTTTATTGATCGTCGCTCTCCCTCCGTGTGGATGGGGGGTGCCAGTCCGTTAAAAAATTTGGAAGCCCTGAGCGCGTTGCTTGGGATGTCGAAAGGAAACTCGCGTTGGGGACGGGGGGGCGGAGGCGATCTTAACCACTTTCTCAACCGACGACGTGCACCTCGTCGGTTTTTCTTCCGATTGTGTTCCGGCGGCGTGCATGTCCGTCATCCAAACGAAACCGGGAGGAAAACTCAAATGAAACATCTTCATCGGTACCGAAGAGGTGGGGAGGGAGACTTGTTCTCAATGCGGTCTCCGAGACCGTGATAAGAGCGCCATTTGCACATCAGAGGATCCCGGCAGAGGTCGCAACCGGGTACCCGATACCCGTACTCTACCCGATACCCGGCTACCCGTACCCGGCCGGGTACGGGTAGCCGTTTGCGACCCTGGTGCGGCCGGGTACGGGTACGGGTAGGCCGTGAGTCACTGATGAGTAACTGTTTGTCACTCATTTTGGGTAGGGTACGGGTAGGGAACGGCTACCCGTACCCGGCCGGGTATGGGTACCCATTTGCGACCCTGGTGCGGCCGGGTACGGGTAAGGAAACAAAACCCGTTTGCGAGCTCTGGATCCCGGTAACGACGATGAAGACAACTTCTGTAGCACCCTAACACGGCGTGACATTACGAGGGCACTGAAAGATAGTGCTGTCACCGTATTCGAGGCCAATACAATTACCCTATTTTAAGTATATTTAGAGTGTGCAAGTACAGTGGGCATATTTGAACATTGTTATTGTATTCTGAGAGCAGCGTACATTAAGGGGCGAGATTCTTTAAGCATTGCTACGATATGTAATCGTCGTTTGAGATATTATTATGCTCGTGATGCCGATATCAATCAAATCGTGGTGTTAACATAGATTTTTTTACATTATTTTATTGCTTCAGTTCATTTTTGTCACTGAAGAATTGGGCCACGTTCACTTTTGCACTAAAATAGAAAATATTAAAGAGAATAAAAGAACAAAACGATGATTATCGACTTGACATCATTATGAATCTCGTAACAGTCCACGGGACCACATGAGGAGTGGGGTGGCGGGGGGGGAATAGTGATTCCAGGCCAGAAGAGAAATTACGACAATGACGTATGCATGTTGAACTTCTTTCGCACCGTACGTAGCCAACCGTGCAAGTCGAGAGGTGCGGGGGTAGGACAACGAAACTAAACACAACAAACAGTTCTAAAGAATGAAGATGCTAAATTAACCATTTTAATAATACCAGTGGGATGCAAGTCAAACAACAACAACCACAAGACAATTTAGATTAAGGCCATCAGTCTAACTCCGTACTACAACAAACAAACATAGATCCCAATGCACCACCATGTATGGCAAGCAGGAGACCAACATAACCTGCACGGTACAGATCTTGGTGGGGATTAAAGGCCAATTTACCCGCTCACTCACCCACTCGCCTACTCACCCACTCACCCACTCACCCACTCACCCACTCACTCACCCACTCACCCACTCACTCAGAACCTGTAGGATACACGGCCGAAACTGTGGGGGTAAAGGCAAATTTAAAAGAGGTGAGTTTTCAAGCTAGGACTTAAATATATCTAACGACTCTCTAACTTTTTTACTTAAAGCTTCCGTGACTGCAGGGATTCATATTCTTGGTTCTTTCGGTAAAGTCACCGAAAGAACCAAGAATATGACTCTCTCATTAGCAAAGCGTTCCAAATCCTGGGAGCTTCGTAGTGGCAAAAGCCCCGATCACCCCAGGAAATGAGCCTTGATCTCGGAATACTGAGAAGGGAGCATAAATCTTTTATCCATGAACAGGTAAGAAATGTCCCCTGTTGTGCAGTTTTGAGTGTCAGTGATATTGATTGGCTGACTTTTAGAATCAGAATATTTATTGAGACTGGAGGAATCCGATGAGCTATGAAGCTCTTTCACAGATGTCTGGTCGGGGCTGGTCAGAACGTTACAACAACAAACGATACAAAAACTCGGAGTGAAAAGTACAGGAAAGGTAAAAACAGATTACACAAAAAAATTACGAAACTAAACAGTTTTATTTTATTTTAACAGGTAAAGCCCACTGAGCTATTACCTTTTTGAGAAGCGAAACTTGGCCACAAATGATAGCTCAACAAAGTGGCTTATCACGTGGACATTCATGGCAGCCAAATAATCCCAACGATCTAAGTTGCGTGTTTCTAAACGTGCGGGGTAAAACCGGAGGACCCGCGAAAAAAAATCCACGAGATCATGGGGATAGAGAGAGAGACACGCAGACTCAAAATATACAGCAGGTGTCTTTGTGAGGCTTGGTCAAGCTTTTGGACGCTGGTGATTACGTACGTGGCCTGTACTCCAGCACGGTGAAGGCAGCGAGGGTTTGGTTGGTGGCTTGCGCGTAAATTTATGAAAAACTCCAACTACCCGTGGGCACTGAGGTCGCCACATCTCCGAGCTTGCCAGGGTATGATGGCAGTACAGCAAGTGGGTTAAATACCACCATCTGTACACACATTGAGCGTTACCTCGCACGCATGGGTTCTCTCTCTCTGCTTTCTTTCCAAGTTTAAAGAATAATTGATGGTGTTGGCCAAACATCTCAATATAGGACCACAGAGCATGGCAATGGTTGGTATCGGTTCCGGCTGCCATTTCCACTTGTCTGTGAATTTTTTCACCTCTACATCGCACTCTCTCTCTCTCTCTGGGAGATTAAACATTGTACACGTTACAAATTCCACATTGTTTATTTGCATTTCGTGTTCCAATGCAAGGTTTGCCTTGGTGTACACTCCAAAGTAAATCTGTGCGTGAACAGCTATGTAGTTTAACACGTAGACTTTCGCCGACCAATATCATCCAGAACAGGTTTCTTGGGTTAGATCGCGTAAATTTATGCGATTTAACCCAAAAAACCTGTGTTACGAACAGCTGTGTACATTACGCATCAATTCCTGCAGCTGTTAATCCGTAAAATGCTAACACGCGCACATTTAGTAATCACAGTAAGCTATAAATATGCTATTGCAAGTCATTAATTCTAGATTTGAAGTTTTCGTGACTGCAAGGGTCCATACTCTTTGGTTTTTTCGGTAAAGTAACGTAGAAAATAAAAATAAATTAAATCACGACGTTTCGGAGGCAACGCAAGCTTCCGTCTTCAGGTGGCACCGTCACGGCAAAATTACCGTATCAAGTGGGGAGAACTCTAAGAGACACGAGACTATATACAGGTTAAGGGGGGGGGGGAAGGAGCCAGGATGGGCCGTGGGGGAGTGTTAAGTTAAGCCTCCTTTTGTTTTGCATAACAGGGTGGTGTAATGGACAACTTTATAGAAAGGCAAAGATCCCATCTATAGCCTTAGACTGTTGGCCCAAGTGCTGTGAGCAAGCACTTATGAAGGCCTACACGGCACACGAGGGAGTGGTTTGCAGCCGTACTCATTTGAGGCCGAGTCGAGACGGGGGAGGCCCAGGACCCGTTCAGATATTCGTCACCGATGTGGCGATGAGCAGGAATAGAACTCGGGTCACCGGGTTTGTAGCGTGGTGCGCTAACCATTGCACCACCGCTCCCCCCAATCGGTACCATGGATACAGAATAACACCATTGGACGCGCAATTTTATATTTTCTCTACTGGACAGTGACTCAATAAAAAATTTTTTTACGCAACAGCACAACAAATGCAATAACGATTAAATCCGCATAATTTTAATGGGTACCATATTTCTCGGGCAAATTGCATATCTCCAAAGATATTACGTCCGTGACATCTTACGACTTATTGCAGGGTGTGATTGCCAGAATTATCTTGACCAAAAGTGTGCCTTGTAAAATTGCAAACGATCTTTGGAGTAAATGACTTTTTAAGGCTTTGTTTTCCCCGTGGACTCCTTTCCCGGCCTTCGTAGTGACAAAAAAGCCTGCCGCATCGGACGGCAAAGACTTGATTGTAATTTCTCATAATTACGTTTCTTCCGCACCACGGCTCAATGTTGCGTTTACATCCTTCGGGGAGTGCTTTGAAATTGGGATCCCCCAAGCCTGGTTAGCACAAAAGCAACAACAACGCTAAAAATGTTGCGCTGTCATTTAATTGCAGGATAATTCATATCCACGTACGGCAATTGCAGTCTGTTTACAGGCATGCATTCAAAAAGCAAGCCGATGATTAAGTATTATCTTCAGCTTTCGGATGTATGACAAAGATTACTGTTAAATCAACAATCCGACATATGTGTAGTGGGTATTTAACTCCAACACACGGGGTAACTGCCCCTTAACAGAATAACAACCTATGGTGGTGACCACCAGGCTAACTACACTAGTTACTACGTGACTGGTGTAGTTAGCCAGGTGGTGACCACGAGGCTAACTACACTAGTTACCACGTGACTTGTGTAGCTAGCCAGATGGTGACCACCAGACTAGCGACACTAACTACAACGTACCGAGCTACTACGGACCAGGACCAACAGCTGGGGTCCAGGTCCACGTGTTGGAGACTCGTTGAACGTAGAACGTAGACGAAGGTTTTTTCAGGATGAAGAACAACGCCGGCCCCCCTGGGGACCCGGCTTATATTCTCTGCGGCGTGGCTGCCTCCGCCCTTGGCCACGACCACCTTCTAGAATCCTCGGGAACAATCTGGATGTTAACCACGTGACCACCCCTATCCCCCACTTGGGCACTTTTGTAGACTTAACTGGTCACGTGTCCACCCAGGTCAACCAGAGTGCCATGGCCTCGAGTAACCCCGTTCCTCCGGCCTGCACTCCCACACCCTGTCCTGTAGGGGCTGGCACTGCACGCAAAGCATGGTGCTATCTAGCGCTATCACTCAGCGCTCACCGGGCCCCTCTAGGGCCGGTACTAGACCCACACCACGTGGTGTCCGCGATGTCGTTACACCGCACGCCGTGCCTCTCTAGGGCCGGCACTGCACGTTGACATCCCGCGATGTCACTACATATGTGTGTGAATGTATAGTTTTGCATATTCTTGTTTTTTTCGGTAAATTCACGTAGATAAAAAACAAATCAAAATAAAAAGCAAAAAAACCCACGACGTTTCGATCGCAAAAAGAAGACTGCTTTGTGTTGCGATCGAAACGTAATGGGTTTTTTAAATTAAATTTTAGTTTTCTATCTATGTGACTTTATCGAAAGAACCAAGAATATGAATTCCTGCAGTCACGAAAGTTTTAAGTCTAAATTTAGGTTTGCAGAGTTTGATCCTGAAAAAGGCTTGTTCGAGTCTCAAGACATAATTTGCCATGAGGATCATGCATCGAGATATTGGGCCAATTGCGATTTCATTTTTTGCATTTTGTTGCACGTGGGAAGAAACCCCACAACCTACAAAGAGGACAACGACAACAACAACAACCAATGTAGCTCACAGACAAATCACAAATATTTCCGGCGTATCACCATCTGTAGGCCACTTCGCAAACCGACCCAGTTCAGCAGTCTTGCAGCACAAGGACAAACACGATTTCTTCACCAACCAATTCTACACCGAAGCCAATGTGCCGGATTAACGGCGCGTAGCGTAGACGAGCAGGATAATATCTTACAGCCGAGTGGTGTCACGGTAAGATTATTATCTGGGTGTGTATGGTAGTCGGTTGTTATTTTACCAAATCCCCCACGTTAGCTGCAGTGAATAATTACGTGTTTAATAAACATCTCCAGGTCTTCAAATCACCCAGAATGCCCCCTTCCCCCTCTCCCCCCCCGATCTCATCAGATCTTGAAAAGCTAAGCAGTGTCAAGCCTGGATAGTGCTTGGATGGGTGACACTGATGTGCAGGGGAGAGGCATTGCCAAAAACACGTTTGCAGTAGGAAGGTGATGTTTGCTGTGTGTGATCCCAAATTGTGAGACATTTCAATCTAGATTTGAAGTTTTCGTGACTGCAGGGATCCATAATCTTTGTTTTTTCGGTAAAGTCATGTAGGTATAAAATAAAACAATTTTACAGTAATGGGATCTTTTGGCCAATGCCAATTGCATTGCATGATTTATTAATTTTTTGCTATGGGAGAAGGAAACGAGAAAACCCGGAGGAAACCCACGTGGCACAGGGGAGAACGATCATCCATGCTCCACGCAGAAAGATAACCCGAGTCGGGAATTGTGCTACAGCCTCTTTTTATGGCTACGAGGCACAAGTGATTCCACTGCGCCAACCTGCCACCCAGTGGCGGGCATGCGAATGAATGCCTGTTCCTCTTCAACGTTTAACATTCCGTGCGTGCGCCGCGTTGCTTTGCATCCGTCAGTGTCCCTGGAGTGGGAGGTGAGCGAGGCGGCGCGGAAGGATCTCCTGGAAGCCCTGAAGCTAAAACACCAGGAGCTGGCTCGTCGCCTGGAGGAGCGCACGAGCGAGCTCAAGCGCCTGTGCTTGCGGGAGGCTGTGAGTCACCCCTTCCTCCCCCCCGCAACATTTCCCTACCTCCCGCCCTCCCTGCAACATTTCCCCCCTCCACTGCCCCCATCTGCTTCCCCCCCCCCCCCACAACAGTGCCCCCCCCCAAATTGCAATGTTCAGCCCATGCCATTCACGGACTGTGGCGTCACAGGACATGCAAGAGATTTGTCGGACACCGAACCCGGTGCGCCCTCTCTGCCTGCGTCCCAGCTTGCCCCACTGGGCACACGGCTAGAAAGCCTCTCGCCTTCCGTTTGGCCTTCGCGCGACTGCTCCCCTACGTTTGTGCGCGGCGTGCCGGGCTCCGGCGACGTAAGAGACACGTGTGGCCGTGTGCGGCGCGCCGACTTCCACAGGAGCTGACGGGCACGCTGCCCGTGGAGTACCCCAAGGGGCCCGGGGAGAAGCTCCCCGCGGTGCGACGGCGCGTGGGCACCACGTTCAGGCTGGACGAGAACAAGGTGTTCCCCAAGGTGGAGGTGAGCTCGCCCAGACGCAGTGGCGGCACGGTGGCGACACGGTGGCGGCACGGTGGCGGCACGGTGGCGGCACGGTGGCGGCACGGTGGCGGCACGGTGGCGGCACGGTGGCGGCACGGTGGCGGCACGGTGGCCCAGGGCAGACTCCTCCTGGACGCTTCGTTGCTAAACCACCCTTCCCCCCCCCCCCTCCCCCAGTCGATGTTAACTACCCCGCCTGATATACAGGAGGTCGTGGGTTCGATCCCGGCGCTGACACCTGCTGCTGTATATTTGGAGTTTGCCTGTCTCAACATCATGGTGGCTAGGAGATGTTAACTACCTCGCCTGGCGTACAGGAGGCCGTGGGTTCAATCCCGACCCTGACGCCTGCTGCTGTATATTTGGAGTTTGCCTGTCTCAACATCATGGTGGCTAGGAGATGTTAACTACCTCGCCTGGCGTACAGGAGGCCGTGGGTTCAATCCCGACCCTGACACCTGCTGCTGTATATTTGGAGTTTGCCTGTCTCAACATCATGGTGGCTAGGAGATGTTAACTACCTCGCCTGTCGTACAGGAGGCCGTGGGTTCAATCCCGACCCTGACACCTGCTGCTGTATATTTGGAGTTTGCCTGTCTCAACATCATGGTGGCTAGGAGATGTTAACTACCTCGCCTGGCATACAGGAGGCCGTGGGTTCAATCCCGACCCTGACACCTGCTGCTGTATATTTGGAGTTTGCCTGTCTCAAGATCATGGTGGCTAGGAGATGTTAATTACCTCGCCTGGCATACAGGAGGCCGTGGGTTCGATCCCGGCCCTGACGCCTGCTGCTGTATATTTGGAGTTTGCCTGTCTCAACATCATGGTGGCTAGGAGATGTTAACTACCTCGCCTGGCGTACAGGAGGTCGTGGGTTAGATCCCGACCCTGACACCTGCTGCTGTATATTTGGAGTTTGCCTGTCTCAACATCATGGTGGCTAGGAGATGTTAATTACCTCGCCTGGCATACAGGAGGCCGTGGGTTCGATCCCGGCCCTAACGCCTGCTGCTGTATATTTGGAGTTTGCCTGTCTCACATCATGGTGGCTAGGAGATGTTAACTACCCTCGCCTGGCGTACAGGAGGCCGTGGGTTCAATCCCGACCCTGACACCTGCTGCTGTATATTTGGAGTTTGCCTGTCTCAACATCATGGTGGCTAGGAGATGTTAATTACCTCGCCTGGCGTACAGGAAGCCGTGGGTTCAATCCCGACCCTGACACCTGCTGCTGTATATTTGGAGTTTGCCTGTCTCAACATCATGGTGGCTAGGAGATGTTAACTACCCTCGCCTGGCATACAGGAGGCCGTGGGTTCAATCCCGACCCTGACACCTGCTGCTGTATATTTGGAGTTTGCCTGTCTCAAGATCATGGTGGCTAGGAGATGTTAATTACCTCGCCTGGCATACAGGAGGCCGTGGGTTCGATCCCGGCCCTGACGCCTGCTGCTGTAATATTTGGAGTTTGCCTGTCTCAACATCATGGTGGCTAGGAGATGTTAACTACCTCGCCTGGCGTACAGGAGGGTCGTGGGTTAGATCCCGACCCTGACACCTGCTGCTGTATATTTGGAGTTTGCCTGTCTCAACATCATGGTGGCTAGGAGATGTTAATTACCTCGCCTGGCATACAGGAGGCCGTGGGTTCGATCCCGGCCCTAACGCCTGCTGCTGTATATTTGGAGTTTGCCTGTCTCACATCATGGTGGCTAGGAGATGTTAACTACCTCGCCTGGCGTACAGGAGGCCGTGGGTTCAATCCCGACCCTGACACCTGCTGCTGTATATTTGGAGTTTGCCTGTCTCAACATCATGGTGGCTAGGAGATGTTAATTACCTCGCCTGGCATACAGGAGGCCGTGGGTTCGATCCCGGCCCTGACGCCTGCTGCTGTATATTTGGAGTTTGCCTGTCTCAACATCATGGTGGCTAGGAGATGTTAACTACCTCACCTGGCATACAGGAGGCCGTGGGTTCGATCCCAGCCCTGACGCCTGCTGCTGTATATTTGGAGTTTGCCTGTCTCAACATCATGGTGGCTAGGAGATGTTAATTACCTCGCCTGGCATACAGGAGGCCGTGGGTTCGATCCCGGCCCTGACGCCTGCTGCTGTATATTTGGAGTTTGCCTGTCTCAACATCATGGTGGCTAGGAGATGTTAACTACCTCGCCTGGCGTACAGGAGGTCGTGGGTTAGATCCCGACCCTGACACCTGCTGCTGTATATTTGGAGTTTGCCTGTCTCAACATCATGGTGGCTAGGAGATGTTAATTACCTCGCCTGGCATACAGGAGGCCGTGGGTTCGATCCGGCCCTAACGCCTGCTGCTGTATATTTGGAGTTTGCCTGTCTCACATCATGGTGGCTAGGAGATGTTAACTACCCTCGCCTGGCGTACAGGAGGCCCGTGGGTTCAATCCCGACCCTGACACCTGCTGCTGTATATTTTGGAGTTTGCCTGTCTCAACAGTCATGGTGGCTAGGAGATGTTAATTACCTCGCCTGGCGTACAGGAAGCCGTGGGGTTCAATCCCGACCCTGACACCTGCTGCTGTATATTTGGAGTTTGCCTGTCTCAACATCATGGTGGCTAGGAGATGTTAATTAACCTCGCCTGGCATACAGGAGGCCGTGGGTTCGATCCCGGCCATGACGCCTGCTGCTGTATATTGGAGTTTGCCTTTCTCAACATCATGGTGGCTAGGAGATGTAACTACCCTCACCTGGCATACAGGAGGCCGTGGGTTCGATCCCAGCCCTGACGCCTGCTGCTGTATATTTGGAGTTTGCCTGTCTCAAGATCATGGTGGCTAGGGAGATGTTAATTACCTCGCCTGGCATACAGGAGGCCGTGGGTTCGATCCCGGCCCTGACGCCTGCTGCTGTATATTTGGAGTTTGCCTGTCTCAACATCATGGTGGCTAGTGAGATGTTAACTACCTCACCTGGCATACAGGAGGCCGTGGGTTCGATCCCAGCCCTGACGCCTGCTGCTGTATATTTGGAGTTTGCCTATCTCAACATCATGGTGGCTAGGAGATGTTAACTACCTTGCCTGGTATGCAGGAGGTCGTGGTTCGATACCAGCCCTGACGCCTGCTGTATATTTGGAGTTTGCTTGTTTCTCTCCCCATGGTCGCGATAATTAATTTGTTAAAACTATACCAATTTTTTTTATGTTACTAGGTAAAGCCCACTGAGCTATATAGCTCTTTTTTAGAGGCAACCTGGCTATCACGAATGATAGCTCAACGAAGTGGCTCATCTTGTGGACATTATTTGCAGCCAAATACTCTTAAACGCATGTCGTTTATAAATGGACGGTCCAATGCTCCAGCAGGACCATTAACCATCAACGCTCAATTAAGTCACCCGTCATAACGAGCCACCGCTCGGCCAGTATGAAAGTGGTTTTCGTGATGGCCTGGAAAGGATGGCCTGCGAACGTCATTGGATACTAAGCGTCGCGTTTATTATAGGGCCACATCTTTAAATGGCATCGCACCACGCCGTGCGTAGCCTTTACAAGACGTCAGATCGGATCAAAATCCACCCTTTGAACAGATGGCCTGGGATAGCCGAGAAACATCCATTCGTCGTGGTCTTCCTCAATCAGATTCCACTCGCCGAATTCAAAGCTCGCCCATGCCAATGTTGCCAATCGGCAATTCTGCTCAGAGGCTAAATATTGACCCCAGCCGTCGTCCCTCAGAGAGAGTGTGGACCCCACCACGGGAAACGCGGAAGAGATGAGCGCGATGCCCCCAATGCTCAATTGAGAGGGGAAACACTTTAATTTTGATGTGAACTCAATACGCCACGGCTGTTTAAACAATAATAACAGTGCAGTGCTGGGATGGCGTTTAGGGGTAATAATACATCGTCCATTGGTACCTGGGCAAATTGGCTTTTGATGGTGTAATGCCAATTGTGCGTAGGGGGGGGGGCGATCTCCCAGTGATACGGAATGAATCTCACAAGCAGCTTGATAAGTATCTTATATAAAACACATTATTACGACAATGTACAGCCATAAAGTGTCAGAAGTATCGATGCCGTTGTGTATTACGTAGAGTAATGCTATTATTAGTGATGCTCATTATTTGAAATAGGAGAGGTGGAAAGCGGAGTAAAAGTTGCAAAATGGGAATTGAAATAGGACTTGCGAATCATGGCCCTAACTACAGTGCCAATTTGGACAATTATACAGACGTTAATTGTAATCCATTTGGTCAAACCCACTTCTGGATTAAGGCTTCCTCCGCAGTCAGGGGAAGTTGGTTGACCATACTTCACCAGATTGGTGGAAAGGGGGGGGGAGGGGAGATGCCCAAGGCCACTGCTATACACCAGGTATGGCACTCACACTTGGGTTGCTTGGTTTAAAAGGGCAGTGTGATAACCACTATGCACCGCTGATTTACCCCCGTGTTGCACACATACATTACCAAATCGCAGTATTAAGGTAGGCGAGTTACAATGGTTGGTGGATTCTATTCCTGCGCATGATCGAAATACATTCAGGAGCTAAGTGGCAACAGAGGGGTCTACTAGCCACGACGAGAGAGCTTCAGGGTAGAGAGTTCGTGTAGTTTTCA